ATAAAGCTAGAGTTGTGGGCTATTATTGCGATAATCATGAGCACACAATGCCAAAAGAAAAAAGTATACAAAGGACAATTTTCATTTTCTAGCACCCACCGCTCTTATCTATGGACCGCTCTTATCTATGGAATTTTAGGGTATAATCAATGGCCGGCCTGCAATCGACTACTGCGCCCTGGCAAGATGGAGGGCTCGACTGGCCCGGACAGAAACCGATCTGGGATCTGATCTCCGGATCATAATGTGGGAGCGCTGGTACTTGCTAAAGTCAAAGTTAAGGGATAGTACGAGTTGTACAAAGTGATCCGTACCCAAACGAGTTAAGTCTCTTTCACGCCTGCATCAAGCCGTTCAACTCCTCCAAAAGAGCTGAGTTTTTCAAGAATTTGTTATTCTTGTTCTACCCGTGACAAGTACATAGGAGATCATTCCAGTGGACTGGAAAGATGCTTCACTAGTTGAGCCCACATGCGAATCTACGACTATGAAAAAGAAACGACATATAATAACGCTATCGACAAACCTGAGAAACCAAAATCGCAATGGTGACAAGCAGCTGATGAAGGGAACCGAGCATTCCACGAAGATTTGTTGGGGAGGTTTCAGCCAAATACATCGGGACAATGCAGGTCAGTCCTAAAACAGATCATGAACAAGAGCTTTTCGCGACAGTACAGATGTTTATCAACAATTGCACAACTGCGAACGCCTAGTTATCCCGGAATGTCAAACGAGTAAAACGGCGTTGAGCAGGCACTTCTCGATCTTCTATCACAATTATCCATTTTATTTTAACAGATCACAAAAGAGAATCGGACCGCCCCCTCCCCAATTTCCTCTAGCATTCAATTATTTTTGACATCAAGAGTTCATCCCTTTTTAGGTATTTAGTCTCTCAAAATGGTAATTTTTCACATACCACAGTAGAATCCGATGAACAAACGGCCGAGTACGATCATAGGATAGACACCCATCGGTTTCGCCAAGCCCATCAGAGCTGCAGCAATGAAAGCGAGGAGGTTATTGTACAGTAGTCCACCTCGCCGACCAACTTTATCAGCCAGCCATCCGGAAATCAGACCGCCAAACATACCACCGACAGCGAACATCGACACAGCTACACTCCTGAAATGAAGTTTACCCAATTAGGGCATTACAAATGGTTGGAAATTTGTTTGAAAGAAGAAGTCGAATAACACTCGATAATGAAGACCAGTTTAGGCTGACTATATCTCTACTAGGTATGTACAGTACCTTTCCGATGAGCCTATTATATGTGCTTCAAAATGAAATCGACTTGACGCACTCAAAATCAATACTTCATTGGGAAAACTTTGCTGAAAGATGGCTTAACATGCGAAAAGATTTACTACGATGAAATAGTGCTGTTTTCGAAGTAGGGCAATTCTGCCACAGAAGGCAGGGTAGAACATTGAGCCATTGGAGACTGAACGGCTCAGATGATGAACGCTAATTTGTGACCCCGTTTTAAGCTAGTTCTGCAAGGAGTGTTCGTTTTTCTTCACAAGCAGTACTACCAAGGCAAATCCCCACTGATAAATTTTCGAAATGCCATTCCGTCATTTGGAGTTTTGAAATAGATGCTTCATTTTCTTGCAGCCAACATGGCAGTTAGCCCTGGCGTGACATCAAATATGTAAATGACCAATATGGAAAATGTGCTAAACTGCATTTAAATGTATTCAATTGCCCAAATGCTTTCACTCAAAAAACCACGCTGATAGGAACATGAAATGCTATTCAAAGCCACAGTTGACCATAATCTTGAGGTATCCCTATTTAATCGGAAAGTGGAAGTATAGGTCGGGTTTAGTTGAGCGGTAGTGAAGAAAGTGTGTAAATTCTTCGATTCCGAGAAAAGTAAGAGCAGAAAAAATAGAGGTTGGACGGGATCACCATGACGGAAACAACATGGAAGGGGTATTCGGACGAGATTACAGTAGTTGCAATTGTAGAAAGAGCTGACTACATCAAGTCAGAACTGTACAGAACTGTCTTTCACTGTCTTTATGGGCCATGACAAGTTGTTTGAACTTCCTAAGAGGGTGTCCCTGTTATCGGTGAACCCTCCACAGAACCGGCGAAACTCGTCTGAGGATACTCATGGGACTATCTTCTAGCCTTTATGACTTACTTACTATCTAGGCCGTGTTCCGACCTAATAGAGCCAGATATGGTATACGAGGGGACATGAAATTCATTCTATGGGAAAATCTCAGAAACCATTTTTATCGTGAACTATGGCTTTAACATGGCATGCAAGTGTAGACCGAAGCCATCGTTGGCTGAGTTAAGGTCAAACTCTTCGGAACCTTTATGAACACTATTGAAAGTGAGTCGCAGGGTGGCAGCCATCACTTAGTGTCTTCTGCAAAAATTTACGGGCCACTTAGTGTTCACAACAAAAAAAATTAAGGGCACCATCTAAGAGAGCTTCCACTTTCGAGAACCCCTTTTGGGCAATCTCCTCACCGCATGGGCAGGAACGCCTAAATATGCGCGCAAAATCAACACCCGCTACAAAGCTAATGCATAAGGAAACTTCAATGAGGTTTTCGAAACTTTATTCTCACAGTTGTCATAGCAGATCGGAGAAGGAAAACCCTAAACATTAACTGAAATTATTTGAAAACTCACCAGGTCAAATCGGCACCGGTTTTCTCGAGTGTTTGATTGAACAAGCTCCGATGTGATTCTTGGATCCATGCAGTGACCAACTTGAAGAAAAATACTCAGAAAGTATGGTACAAGGAAAAACTTTCCATCAATACAAAGGCTGAAAGAGAAGGAATACCTCGCCAGGAGCATTGACGCACCCAATGTGGTACCCGAATTGGAATGAACCAAGTGTCACCGCAAAGATGGCAAACGCCAAAGAACCCGTCATTCGGCCCTAAAACGTCATTTAGGTTATAAGAGGAACGAAAAAAAAGAAGAAAGGAATGAAACTAAAAAAAACAAAGAAAAAAGAGTGAGCTCAAACAAGTTAAGCTCCATTATTCAAAATAAGCTCTGAACTTCTTTCCCCACCCTTTTGTTCTCTCTGTTTGCCGATGTTGAAGTTCTAATTTTTATTCTCAAATCAACCAATCAATCAACTTCACGTGGAAGTCAATTTGAATCCATTATTTCGAAAGAACCATATGTAGGAATGATAAATGTCAAATAGATGTGTTGGCAAATTTATTTGAGAACACCTTAGAATCTAATTTAAAAGGTTTGGGCGTAATTCACCCGAAGTAATTCCCACAAAACTGGACGATATTTAACTTCACCTGAGTAACCTGTGCATTCCTCAACGGCACATCGGCCGGATCGCTTTCTATAGTCATCTGAACGTTCACAATTAAGCAGGGGAGCGACGAAAACGTACACGATGAGTACGAAATTTTTAGAGCCTTCGAGTTCGTTAGACAAAGTTTTCATGTTATACATCGCCATCGCCGTTTATATCCGTACAGTCCGGGGTCCCTCCACATAGGACCTTATGACCCCAGTAACGCGCCTTGGTATCGATTTTTCCGGTACGGATATAAACGATGATGACGATTTGGAAGTTTAAGTTGATCCGCTCTTATCTATGGAGTTTTAGAGCTGTCAGTATCAAATCACTGCCATGGCTTATCCTAATGGTGACAGATGAGGTAGGCTTCTGCTGCAGGAGAGCTTCAGAAGAAAATATCATTCAATTATCAACTAGCCAACTTTCAAAAGTATAGAAGAACTGAATGAAACTTGAGTGGGACAAAGAAACGTGCGTACGACAATCATTGACAATCATACAGTGACTGGTTTAGGTACAGTACGACTCTTTTACAGGTAACCGCCAGCGCGTGGTTATTTTTTTTTATTTAAACCCCTCTTCTGCACGCCACTTTGTCGACGATTCCCTTTTCGCGAGCGCCATTTGGGTAGATCTCATAGCACCGCAATTTCCTGCTCAATCATTACCCTTTCCCAAGTCCTCCTCTCACCCTACATTAATCACGAGCGACTTCCTGCAGTCGTTGCCAAGGGCTCATCGGGAAAACCCCAAAAAGTCAGAGGAAAAAAGAAAACGACTAATGTACATATGATGTTATGAAATATCCGATGGAAGATGAAGCTCAAATGACTCCTCAGGGCTCGTCATGCGTGCCCTTTTGCAAAATCGCCTGATGGTGATATTAATGTAATAGATATGGAAATGATATGCATGAATGCCTAGCTATTTTATAGGTCAAATTGAGGTTCAAAAGAACAACTACTTTTTCCGTGACAGAGTCCTGCATCAAGAAAATCAATTCGGAACAGTAGGAAATTAGCAAATTCCACGGGAAAAGCCATCCCAAAGCTGTGCAAACGATCGACTCAGCCCTTATGGTTTATGTGAGGTATACTTCTTGAGCTAAACAGCTCTCAGAATTATTTTGCATACCTATAA